ACCATTATCAGGTGTCCCCAAAACAGTTGGAGTATACAACACAAAAAATAGGCCTGTTTCTTATCTTTTTGTCCCCGTCGGCCGTTTTATCGTGGGGTAGTTTTGTGATTTTGGGCGCATGTAATAATTGCTCAGCTCTTCGCTGTATTTTTTTCACAGGCAAGGGCAATGTGTTTGATTCCTGGGTGGGAAAGATTTTTACCGAGTATCTCCCTCTATCTGTTGTAGGCGCGGTTCGTCCATAGAGCACGGTCGTGCAGTGCTGCCCAAAATGTTTTAATGTTCTATGACGTAAAGCAATCACAATAATAAAATAAAAGACGCCAGAAACAAACACTAGCCAAATATTATATCAAAACAAGGCCCTCGCTGGCGCCGTAACTGTCATTTCTATTCTATAGCGCCGTAAAACATCTACTATGCCATGCCTAAGTTCATGCGCTGTATCTAAACATAACAGGATAGTCAACAGTGGAAACCTGACCTGTAAATCGCTCTTTGGGATAACCCAAGCGATGACGACACTTGTAGAGAGTTTGGCGGTACATTAATATTAATAAGACGGCACATCTCAAATGTGCTCCAGCCGAATAGCGCCGAAACATAGCCCACAGTAGGCAATCTAAAAATAAACGCCATAGACTGTGCACTATTCCATGCCAAAATTATGTGGACCCCGGAGCAATCCAGCGGAGTGCTCAAGTGAATTGTGATTGGTGGTCTTGTCGCTATTTTAAGTGACTCTGTGACCGTGAACCTGAGGGAGGTGAACGTGACATACTTAAGTCACCGTCCTATGAGTTGTGCTTTTGAATGGTTTTGTAGTGGAGTGGTGAAAGGTATTACTTGAGTGTTCAGTTCTAATGCAGGATGAATGAAATTGACGTTTAGCTAACAAGACTGTTCTAGAAGTCAAAGCCACAAGTAAAAAGAATGAAAATAAAAGCACAAAGGTCTTCCTTCACCAGCACAAAGATCCTAAAATTATACACCATCCCATTTACTCTGCCCTTGATTATCTTCAGTCTAAGATAGCTTAATTGCGCACGCCCATTTTTTAGACCCAGGAGCCGCCCCTGATCTGTTGGGATTGTGTATGTCGGATGGTTGATGGGAGCTTTTGTGTGGTATGCTCCTTCTTTCCTATCAAACATCTATGATTCAGATACATTCTCCTTTTTTATGTTTGTTTTGTTTGTTTTAGTAAAGAGAAGCAGATCGACGCAATAATGATCACTTAGAGATGGGAAAAAGTAAGAAAAACAGACAGACCGAGACAACAGAGGGAAAGTAAAGAAGAAGAACCCACCACAGCCACCCTCCAACTACTCACCATCTTTTTTTTTAATTTTCAAGTTTGGATAAAATGAAAGAAAAAGAGGTGGGCGGTTGACGAGTGCTCTTGTGTGCTTTGCTCCTTCTTTTCTCTCAAACATCCATCGTGCATATCTCTCCTCCTTTGTGTCAGTGTATGTTACTTTTAAGTAAGACCTGTAATCTCTGGCAGATATAATTACATGTATGTATGACCTGTGCTGCCAGGTGCCGTAAAACTCTAACTACAATCTTTTTAAAATGGTGAAATGGTATAGGTTTAACGTCCCTATCAACACTATTTGATTATTTAAGAGGCCGGAGCTCCGAGTTTAACGTCCATCTCCGAAAGGACGGAGCCAAATGGGAAATTCTGTAAAGTGCCCTTCCCCAGGACACAGCGTCGGACCGAGCTGTGGCTCGACCCCCGAACCCACAATCTCACGACTACGGGTCCGTAAGCCTAACCACTAGGCTACCGACACCCCAAGCACTGATGGAAATGACAAAACAAAATTGCATGATGCCCCCTTGATGTTTCAGTTCAAACAAATGACAGCGTTATGAGGGAACCCTCAGAAATTCACGTAGATTTGGGCGATTGTGAAATATGATGCTAACGATATACAAGGCACACATAGATCCAAACAAATGTATGCTATTATCAGATTTTTCTTTCCCTCTGAGGGAGTTGTTGTTGTTGTTTTTTTAAGTTAAGTAAGAGTTTTACAGCACTTGTAACACAATAAGGTCATATGAGTGCCGAAGAAAAGATGTTACAAGAGAGTAACGTACACACAAAAAGAAGGAGGAGATATAAGGACGATAGGTGCTTAACAGGAAAGAAGGAGCGAACCACACAGAGCACCCGCCAACCACCCGCTCTGAGGGGGGTGACATCACAGTTGCTACGTCATCTATAAAAAGGAGCCCTCTGGTGGGAACACGGTCTTGTTTTTGTTTTTACCTCCAGCTTGTAAGCATTGTTAAGGTCTCATTGGGGGGGGGGGGGCGAAAAGGTGAGAAAATTGCCCTCCTACATGTATTATTTTTTGTAGGGGTGTTATTCTGAAGTTTAGACAAAAACATTCCGCAGCATGAACACATACACACACATACACTCACTCACGCACGCGCACGCACTCACACACACACACAAACACACGCACACACACACACGCAAGCACGTACGCATAGAAGCACGCTCACACACAGACAAATACACATACATGCACACACACACACTCACCTGCACACGAACAGAGAGAGAGGGGGAGAGAGAGACACATACAAACACTTACTCACACACACACACACACACACACACACG